AATAATTAGTACTATTATAGATATAAAATAATAAAATATAATAAAATACTAAACATTAGTTATTTTAATATAAAATTATAAATAGTAATGAATGTAAAAAATAAGCTAAAATTTATTGAAATTTTTAGTAAAATAAAACTATAGATTATTTTTAAATAAACAAATATTTTAATATAATGAATAAGTTTATCTATTAATTGAAAATAATTAGTTATATATTTTCAATTAAATTTTTTTTCGAGTAAAACTTTTTTAGGCATTGCCTTAACTGCGGTGAGACATGGGAAACTTGCGGTCAGTAATTATATCGAGAACCGTTGGTCAGATCTTGCGGTCAGACATATAAAAGTTATAGAGAATAAAAAGTTAGGAACTAAGGTTGACCTTAAAAAATTTTAGGTTCACCAGGGGACACACAAAATAAATAAAACATGAAAACTTTGTACTAAAAAAGCTGCGGTCAGTGAATATCTGGAAAACCATTGGTCATATCTTGCGGTCAAACATATAAAAGTTGTAGAGAATAAAAAGATAGAAACTAGGGTTGACATTAAAAAATTTTAGGTCCACCAGGGAACCCACAAAAAAAATAAAACATGAAAATTTTGTACTAAAAAAGTAGCGGTCAGTAATTATCTCGAGAACTAGTAGTCAGATCTTGCGGTCAAAGATATGAAAATTATAGAAAATAAAAAGATAGAAACTATAGTTCACTTATAAAAATTCTAGGCCAACTAAGGGATTTACAAAAAAAATAAAACATGAAAATTTTGTACTAAAAAAGTTGCGGTCAGTGAGTATTTTAAAAACCAGTGGTCAGATCTTGCGATCAAAAATATAAAAGTTGTAAACATTTATAAATTAAAAAAATGGTTAATAAGAATAATTTTTGGTCTACCAGAAAACCCATAAAAAATATAACATTTTATATTAAATAAAAATATAGGTTTTAATTTTTTGAGGTTCCAAAAAAAATTTAAATTTTTTTAATTTAAATTATTGTTTACTTTTAAATTTTTAAAAACTTTTAAGGGTTTGACCGAAAGATCTGGCTACTAGTTTTTCAGATAAACACTGATCAATATTTTTTTAATACAAAATTTTTGTTTTATTTTTTTGTAGGTCCCCTGGTTCTCCTAGAATTTTTATAAATGAACTATAGTTTCTATCTTTTTATTTTCTATAATTTTTATATGTTTGACCGCAAGATCTGACCACTAGTTCTCGAGATAATTACTGACCGCCGCTTTTTTAGTACAAAATTTTCATGTTTTATTTTTTTTGTGGGTTCCCTGGTGGACCTAAAATTTTTTAATGTCAACCCTAGTTTCTATCTTTTTATTCTCTACAACTTTTATATGTTTGACCGCAAGATCTGACCAATGGTTTTCCAGATATTCACTGACCGCAGCTTTTTTAGTACAAAATTTTCATGTTTTATTTATTTTGTGTGTCCCCTGGTAAACCTAAAATTTTTTAAGGTCAACCTTAGTTCCTAACTTTTTATTCTCTATAATTTTTATATGTCTGACCGCAAGATCTGACCAACGGTTCTCGAGATAATTACTGACCGCAAGTTTCCCATGTCTCACCGCAGTTAAGGCAATGCCACTTTTTTAGTATAAGTTTATTATTTTATTATTTTCTTTGTATAAAATAAATTTTATGCTATAAAATATAAATCATAATTTACTGTCGTCTATAATATAGATTACTAAACTTTTGTTTTGCAATAAATATTTATTTTTTATTACATTTTTTATTAAATTGCTTATAAATGTTAAAAAATTATAATATTATTATAGCAATATCATTTTAGTTTAGTACTACTAAATTTTACTACAATAGTACATTAACATTGTAGTTTATTAACATATATATATATATATATAAATATATTGATATATCGCATTTTATTAATTTAAAAAAATATATATATACTGTATTATACAGATATATTAATCAAGGCTGCAAATGAGGGTAGGGGGGGGTAGTTGCAAATAATTTCTAGTATTTGAGAAAATTTTAAGGGAATTTATAGGGAATTTATAGGGAATTTATAGGGAATTTATAGGGAATTTATAGGGAATTTAAATTTGCTAACAAAAAATTGTCGTTTAAAATACAATAAAATAAGATCACACTCCCTTACTCTCCCTATCATTTAATACAACATTTTCCCAAAATTTATGTCATTTTACCCACCCGTATACCTCCTGTAATAAAATAAAACTTTTGCAACCCTTAAATTAATTAGTTTTTTAATAAGCTAAATATTGTAAAATAAATAAAAGTATTTAAAAAAATTGTTAATAATTGAAAGCATTGTCCAGATAAAAAAACTATAATGACATAAATTATTTTATTATTAATAAATATTATATTATAATACCCCTCACCCCCCCCCCAAAAAAAAATATTGGCTATAATCATTGTATAAAATAAAAAATTATTTAATAGAAAATCACAATATTTTATGATTTATAATAATACTAAAATATTTATTGCTAATAATATTTAACTAATGTTTAAACATTATTGATTAAGTTGAACTAAAAAAATTCATGATATTGCTAAACATTGATTATTAACCTTTTTTAATTGTTTTTTTTCCCAATTGAATGATCTTGCTTAATATCTATAATAATTAATTATATATATATGACGTCAATTAAACTTATTGTTTAATTTTTTAAGCTTATAAAGTATATATATAAGGACCAATCAAAAAAAAGTTTTTATTTAAAAATATTAGTTTTTTACTTCTAAAAAACAGTTGATTAATAATAATAATAATAATTATTATATTTTTATTAAAACTATAATTTAAATCTAACAATGGGCTATAATAAGAAAAATTTGCTAGCTAAAATTATTGGTTTGATTGTAATTATTGGAGCCATTAATTTAACATCAGTTGAATCGAGTAGTAATTAATATTTATTTATTTTGAAATTATATAAAATTTAATTTTTTATATAATTATTTATTACATTTTTTAATATATATATAAATTATTTTTTTAATATATACATATATATTATTTTTAAATATATATTATAGAAATTTGTATATAGTAAAATTAATAATATTATAAATTATATTATATTAATAGTAAAATATTATTATTATTATTATTATTATTATTAACTAACTTAACTAAGATTAATATTAGTTAATTAATTATAATTTTAATATTAATATAGATCGTCATCGTCATAGACATCGTACTATTTTCGATACAAAAGTTTACAGAGAAACCGGTTTCGATAACTTTGACCTAATATCGCTGTTGGAGTCAAACGGTTTGGCAGATTTGGCACAAAAATACAATTCACGGCTCCGGGAGCTTAGTCTACTGTTGAACAAATTTTTCAACGATTTTGCCGATTCGCCTGTCGATGACAATAACATACCGTTTCTATTCGGCAACGATTTGGGTTCACTAGTGGACAAACTGATTGAATCGATGAACAAATATCAGTCCGTACTGGCCGTTAAGCAACCCGTAGTGGCCAAACTGTTTGCCGATGCCAGCGAGTTGTTTGGCCAGATTGCTGCCGAAATTAAGCAAGTATTTGGACCGTTATTAGCTGGCAAACAGCGTAGCGGACAACCAGTCTATCAACCAGAACTCGGCAAATTGTTGGTCTCGCTATCGGCCGATATTGCCGGCCAATTGGCTGACAAACCCGATTCCGGCAAATTGAAGTCAGTTTTCGGCCAACTGATTGGTCGCTTTGGTCGCCATTTTGAACGATCAGTCAAAGAGTTGGGCACACGTTTGCAAAAAGCAAATCCCAATCAGTTTGCAATTGTTGGCAAATTTTTAGGCAAATTCAATGATTTGATACAAAAAATTGTCAATACGTTTGCTAAATAATGTGACAATAGTTTGATAGTAATTAGTAATAATTGTTATTATAGTTTTTAATTTTAATAAATAGTTGTTAAATATATTGATAATTATAACATAAATAAATAATATATATAGTATATATATCTATCAAATATATATTATTTATTTATGTTATCATTATTTAATTTTTTATTTTAAAAAAATCTAAATATAAAAACAAAATAAAATTTATAATTATTACAATATTGATGATGAAAATATTAATAAACATTAATTAAAATATTTTAGCAAATATTTTATATTTTAATTATTATTATTATTATTATTATACTATTAAAGCATCTACTGTTTCATATAAATGGGGGGGGGATAAATTTTATTTGGGGGGAGGACAGTTATATCGGGTATCGCCTAACTAACGACTCTTAGCCTATGGCAGTCTTAGTGTTTCATATATTACTACTACTACTACTACTACTACTACTACTACTACTACTACTACTACTACTACTACTACTACTACTACTACTACTACTACTACTACTACTACTACTACTACTACTACTACTACTACTACTACTACTACTACTACTACTACTACTACTACTACTACTACTACTACTACTACTACTACTACTACTACTACTACTACTACAAAGATTGACAATCTGTAAATCATAGACCAGTTGACCAGTAGTTTATTGTTGACATGACTTTCCTGTCTAGACTGCAGTGCATGTAATTCCTGATTTATTAGCTCCCTTTCCATTTGACTTATCCATCCATCTATCCATTGAATCAGTAAATCGACAAAAATCATTGTTCACTACTATTGTAGTCTCGGTCTCTGTTGTCGTGCACTTCTCTAGTTTATTGAGCACATGTAGTAATAATACATATAATAATAATAATAATAATAGATATTTATTTATTTTTATTGATATAATTGATTTTATTTTAATTTTACATAATTTTTTTTATTATAATTTATTATTAATTTTATAATAATTAGCAGTTTTTTATTTATAAAAAAACATAATATAAAATTATATTTTTTTAAAAATTTAATATATATATTAGTAATTATCTTAAAATCTATTTTTTATTAAATGCTTGTTGAAAAAAATATTAATTAAATAATTCAAACAATGCCCGCATTTTTTGACAATAAATAAAATTGTGATGAAATGTTTGAGAGTAGAACTGTTGGCGATTCAAACTCTACTACCCGTCCATCGGATAGGACTAACACACGATCGGAATCAAGTATAGTGTTTAGTCTGTGAGCAATGGTTAGTACAGTACAGTTGGCAAACTCTGACCTAATAGTTGTCTGTATGAGTGTATCGGTCTCAACATCGACGGCAGCCGTTGCCTCATCGAGAATGAGGACAGTTGTGTGTCTTAGTAAAGCCCGGGCCAGACATATAAGTTGTCTCTGACCTACACTTAGGTTATCTCCGCCCTCATTGACTGGAAAATCGAGTCCCGATTCGTTGGACAAAATATAATGTTTGAGATGTGATCGCTCTAAGGCTGTCCACAACTCTGAGTCCGAGTGCCGATCAAATGGATCTAAATTTGAGCGAACAGTGCCGGCAAACAGTACCGGTTCTTGTGGTATAATTGTTAGACCAGAGCGCAGATCCTATTATTTTTTTAATTTAGAAAAAATAAAATTTATTTTCTCTCTATTACTATATTAATTAAATGTATATTACATGTAAACCCAATTGACTGATATCTATGCCGTCGATCACTATTTTGCCGCCGACTGACTCTATTATACGAAATAATCCTAAACTCAGTGACGACTTTCCCGAACCGGTGCGGCCAACAATTCCGATCTTAAATAATAATAATAGCAATTATTATTATTATTATTAAAACAATTATTGATTATTGATTAAAATTAATAATTATTCTTATTATATAACAATACTTTTTCTTTGGCATTGATTTTAATCGTAATCTGTTTGAGTACTAAATCCAATCCCTCACGATATCGGGTACTATAGTCGACAAACTCTATACATCCAGTTTCTGGCCATTTATTGCCGGCAACTGTGCTAACAACTGACGACTGGTCGGCACTACTACTACTAGAATGCCAGTCGGCTTCCGGTTTCAGTGCCGAGTATTCATCTACTCGTTCGACGGAAATCATATTGTTTTCCATTATTGACGTCAAATTGATAAACATATAGACAGAGTCGGTAATAGCGGTGGCATATGTTAGTAGTAGACCAACTGAGCCGCCGTTTAGTTTGCCTTTTTCATGAACAGCAAACAGTGCGGCAAAAAATATGAACAACGATGTTATCATTTCCAACCGTAAGATAACCCAACTCAACGACATAGCACTCGGATATAGACACAGTTGGTTGGTATCTATTCGGGCGTCCAATTCACGGATGGCCCGCTCCTGTAAGCCGTACGCCCGGATACTTGATATGCCGGCCAGTGTTTCGCTAAAATGATTGTAAATCAATGACCGACTGACCGATTCAAGGCTGTTATGGATAAACAAATTTTTTTGAGAGAAAAAAAATTATAGAAAATAATTTATAAATTACTTTAATATCAGGGTTAAGCAAGGTTTTTTTTAATTTTAGGGGGAGTCTAGGGTGGGGTGGGGTATATATATATATATATATATAACTTCAATAATAATAAAAAACAAACCGTTTTAATTGTCTTGAAGTTCTTATATAATATTTCTATTAAAAAAAATTATAAATAAATAAATACTGTTAATATAAATATATAATATTTCTAATAAAAATATTTATTGAAATTTATAATCTACCTGTATCAATAGAAATATGGCCATCAAAAAAATAACTACCGGTAAAAATAAGGGTATTTTAATCCCCACTATAACCATTGTGTTTATAATTAATAATAATGAATTTAACCATAAACTATACAATTAAAATAAAATAAAAAGATATATAAACATTAATAAAATATATATAAAACATATAATATTAAGAAATAAATATCTAAATAAATAAATTTAAATAATTAAAACAAAAATAATGTTAAACCTTAGATTCTGTATCATTTGATTGTCCAAAACATCGATATCTTTGCTAAACCGGTTGAATATACGGCCCAATGGTGTCGTATCAAAGAAACTCATCGGCGAGTGTAGTATTGATGACATTAGCCGCCGATGCCATCGTTTGGCTGCTAAGACTACACCGAAAATAATTGACAAAAATGTTATCCCAATAAAGACAACGTTAGCCAAACCGATGACCGCATAGATTGCAAAATAATATGTATTTTTATTGGTATCGGTGTCTGAACTCCAGTCGCTTAACCAGAATTTTGCCGCCGAATCAAAGCCAATGCCAATCATATTAAATATAACTATCAATAGTGTAAACAATATTGACATCGATTTGATATATTTCATGTAAACCTAAATATATGTATATATAATTATACTTTAATTATTTTTGTGTTATTTTTTTAAAAATGTGTTCTTTAATGTAATAACCTGTTAAATATATATATATATATTTAAATATATACAGTATTTATATACTAATACATATTAATTTCAATATATTGTATATAAATTTTTCTAAAATACATACTGTATATTTATAGATAGTGAATAAATGATACATAGATTTTTTTTTTTTTTTTTTTGACATAACATTACTGAAGCAACAAAAAAATGCTTGAAAATAGAAAATTGTTTTTTTTTGAATTTATTTTTAGTAAATTTTAATTTTATAAAAATAACAATATTGTATTTTACTTTGATTTGAAACTATATATATATATATATAACAAACTGATACATACATTGAATTTGATTTTTCCCGTTTCGGCCGTTTCCTCGTCAATCAATACTGCATTAGTACTACACCTAACACTATCCGTATCACTACTCCTACTATTACTACTACTACTACTACTACTACTACTACTACTACTACTACTACTACTACTACTAGTATCGGCACCGATAGTACTGTTATCGACAGTTATCATCAAATCATCTGTTGTTTGTACATTGATTTTTCGTTTTCTAATCAATCCTTTAGCTGTAGTTTCATTGTTGTCATCGCTATTGTTGTTATTGTTGTCGACAACTGCGGATTGTCTGCAAACTTCACGAAAATCTTCGTCCGATTCCAATAATTCATTATAAGTACCGATGGATTCAATTTTACCATTTTTCAAGACAACTATCCGATCAACGAATGGCAATACAAACAATTGATTTGTAACCATAATTCGGGTCTTATTTCGCAATAAACCGGTTTCCGAGTGAAGCACTTCACGCATAATATGTTGTCCCACATGACTGTCAACTATTTTATTTTAATTGTTTTTAATTAGAATTTTACTAATAATAAGATATATTTTTTTAAATACCTGCCGAAAGTGGGTCATCGAGTAGATAGAGATCGGCTTCACTATAGACAGCTCGGGCTAAACTAACCCTTTGTTTCTGACCTCCGCTCAGATTAATACCCTTTTCGCCGATCTCTGTCTCGTCTCCGGCGGACAGTTGTTTCAGATCATCACTGAGTGCACAACTATTGAAAACCTGTTTATAAAACACTGGATCGTTGTCTTTGCCAAACAATATATTATCTTTCAGAGTCTTATTGATAATCCAGGGCTGTTGGGGAACATAGGCTATACTAACACCGTGTCTAATGTTAACCCTACCGGACAGTATGTCCATTTCGCCTAACAGTGCCGACAGTAGTGAACTTTTTGCCGATCCAACTTTGCCTATGATTGCCACAAACATGCCGTCAGTTATTTTCAAATTTATATCATTTAAACATTTTTTAGGAACAGTAGATAAAATTGTATTAGTGATGGTTGTATCGTATGTATTATTATTATTATTATTATTATTATTATTATTATTATTATTATTATTATTATTATTATTATTATTATTATTATTATTATTATTATTATTATTATTATTATTATTATTATTATTATTATTATTATTATTATTATTATTATTATTATTATTATTATTATTATTATTATTATTATTATTATTATTATTATTATTATTATTATTATTATTATTATTATTATTATTATTATTATTATTATTATTATTATTATTGTTGATAGCATCTTCATCTATAATATATTGTGTTAGTGTTTTACAACTACTACTACTACTACTCCACGCAAAACTGGCGTTATCTATACAAACCACGTGATCGTTATCCGTATAATTAGTCAAATAGTTAGTAATTTCGGGTAAATTAAAAAACTTATTCAAACGTTTTACAGAAATTATAACCTATTAATTAAAGGAGTTTTTTTAAAAAAAAATAAATAAATCAATTAAAAAACAAAACAATTATTAATCAAAATCGATTTTAAATGACTATTACTAATATTAATCGGCTGATATTGGACGGTATGTTTTGTAGGGCTGACTGAATATTTCGCAACAATACTATCGATACAAACAACTTTTGGGCGGACATTGTTGCCGATGAGTTGATGGCAATGAATATACCGAAAGTAGTTAGTGATGTAAAAAATGTTAGACTATTTGCCGTAAATATTAATAGCGAACTCCAATAACCGGCTTTTCGTAAGTTTTCTAACTCTTTTGACCGCAATTTCTCAATCTTTTCGATGAACGCCTCCTCCCAGGCGTACAACTATTGAATAGAAAAGGTTTAAATAAAACAATTATTTTTAAAAAATATATTATAATAAATAATATAAAATATATTTATTTATAATAGATGTTTAAGTAATAACTATTTTAGTTGTTTAATTTTAAAAAACTTTAATTCATATATTAATATATAGTTTCTGGTATTTAATTAATATTTATAATAATATCTAATCAATGATACAATCGATAAAACAAAAACAAACAAAAATATCAATAAATACTTTTAAAACTTTGATACCATTGAGTATATCATTGATAACTGTTTGGCGATTGTCTTTCAATTTGATTTGATCTGTTGTTATACTATCTATAAGTTTGATAACATAGGCATTGAATACCACTGCTATTAATAGCAATACTATTGCCGATATCATTGCTAAACCCATTTCAATATATAGTAAATACAATTGTATGCCTATCCGGCCGCATATCATCCACAGTTGACTAATATTGGGTAGCATTTCTAAAATTTTATTATTAGTATTTTGTATTAAAAATAAACATTAAAAATAATAATAATTAATATATAATTATTAGTTTAATATGAATTTTATTATTATAATTTTTTTTAACATTAATTAATGAATAAATACCTAAAAATCTTTGACAATCAATATTCATGAGATTGACTATCTGTCCGGTATTGGCCTCACGTTTGCTATCATTACTCAACACCAATGACTTGCGATAGACCAGTGATGTTAACAACGATTTGATCCGTTGTCCTAATATTAATAATAATTATTATTATTTGTTTTGTTTTATAATTTGTTTTGTTTCATATCATTTTTTTATTAAAAACAATATATCTAACTAAATACCTAATGTTTGCATTTTTTGTTGATTATATGATACAACAAAACCCATTGCAAGATTGATGGCTAATAGCATAAAACAGTAGACATATCCGTGCCATTGGGGCTCCGAGTTGTCCATAAAATTTAATATCAATCTAAATTCAAACAAACAAAAATGGATTAATTAACACTTCAATAATTTTTATCAAGCTAATTTTAATTAAATAAATAAAATTATAAATTTAAACAGTTATTTTATAATATATTTACATTATATTAAATATTAATTTTTTTATTGACTATTTAATATTAATTGTTAAAATATATATATATATATATATATATACTATCGATAAATAAAAACAATAAATAATAATTATATAATAATAACACTACTAATAATAATAATATATATACAGTATATTTATAAAAAATAATACATTACTTGATTATAATTATGGAAACCGTATCACACATTTCCAACAATACAAACAGTATAGTCGGTCCCAAATAATACCAACAAAATTGATGCCACAATAAACTAAATATATTTATTTGATTATTATTATTATTATTATTAGACGATAGGCTAACAACCCTATGTTGTCTTTTATTACTGTAAACTCTATTGACTGATGATTTCAAAAACCAGGACTCATTGTTGTTGTTGAGTACCGCTTCTTTATCATTGACTACTAGTCCTACTATCGGATTGTCATCATTGGATTGTCGATCAAATGGTTGACTAATTTTATAATATTTTTCAAAATTTTTAATTAAATTTGAAGCCATATTTGATGACCGCATTGGCCACAGATCTGTCAATTTTAACGGTTTTCGAAAACCTTTCCACAATAGACTGTCTACCCATAGATAGGTTAGACGCGATATAAATGATACCCGATCTTTGGGACAGTTATTATAAATAGTATCGTTGCTATCGGCGGTGTTGGTGACTACTGGAATCAATCGGTCGGCAATTGAACATAATATTAGTAGTAAAGCTGTGAATGAAAACTCTAAACATATGATTATCAAGTTTTTATTAAAATCTAGTCTATGCTCTGCTAATACATAAGCGGTTATCGATAGGGCACCGGAAATAGTGTCCAATAGTTGATAAAACCAAACAAAACCGCTGTTATGTATGCCATACAGTCGATGATAGTATAGTATTGTTGTAATAGATAGTCGACTAACTATCAACAGTCCGGTCCGTATTAGATAAGCAATAGTTGTTTGACTATCGGTGCTGTCATCGTGTTTATGATGGTATCGCCGATAGAGACTTAGACCCAAATCGACTATAGTTACGATTGTCAACAGACAGGCAATGGCCAGTCGACTAATATTATAGTAGTTGTAGGGAATGGTTGGTCGCGATCGACGACATACTCCTACTGATGTCCATATGATATACGGGGCGACAATTGTTAGGAAACCGGTTGTAAACCAAACGCAAACAGTATCGGTAAAACATGGACTCAGTTTTGGTGAATTAGTTAACCAAATTTGATCAATGTCCTGGATAAAATTTTTTCCATATTAAAATAATATTAGACATGATTCATGTTATTTTTTTTGTTATTGTGTGCTATTATTATGCGTGTAATATCTAATATACCGTACATAGATATATATACATACATACATACATAAAATCATCTTTTATAAACAAATTTTATATTAATAACATATTTAATTATTGGATTTATGAATATTAGTTTGAATAACTATATTATATTATAATAAATTTAGTTAGAAAAACAAAATTTTATACTTATACTAAAGTTTTTTTAAAATTATATTTGACTTTAATAAACATATAATCAAATATCTTATTGATAATTATTTTTAATAGAAATATATAATATTAAAATTAGATAAATAATATTATTAGACTAATTATAATTTTTTTAAAGCTATAAACACACAATAGTCAAATAATTTAAAATTAAAAACATACCCAAAATGGTGTGTCGCAAATATTATCAAAATATATTTTATCGTAGATAGTCATTTTAAATTTAAAAAATAAATAAATAATATACAACAAAATAATAATATATAAACTTATATAAATATATATATATATATATATATATATATATATATATATATATATATATAAGATACGATTAATATAATACAATTGGTTTGTATTTATTTAATATATCATATATAATGTATTAAACTTTTATTTATATATATATATATATATTTACTAAAAACATTATTTAATTTACTGTAATGAAACATAAACTGTTAGAATTTATTTATTTTTTTTAAACTTGTAATTTTATATACCGTATAATAATTAATAACAATAAAAAAAATTACAACAAAGTAACAAATATTTAATAAATTATATAAATAAGAAAACTAATAGACAAATATCATGACATTCAAAATATTTTTCTTTTATGAATCTATAAACTAACAAATGATTTAATTAGGATTTAATTAATTTATTTTTTAAAACTAATTTGTTTTTCAATAATTTTTTTTCTACAAATTATATATGTTATAAAATTATAAACTTATAATGTACAAGCTATATGTATATTATATATTTTAAAAAAATTTACTATTTTTTTAATAAAATACTAAAACAAGACTCAACAGTGTTAGAGGTGGTTCCCATATTACGTTCGCACTATATAATATTTCTTACTATATTGGTGGTGGTGGGGAGAGGGGGGAGGTAAGCGGTTAGTGATTGTACGATTGTACAAATGTATAGTTAAATTTTAGGCAACTTTTTCAACAACAATAATAACAAGTTTTAAAAAAAAAATATAATTATTAATAATTTTATTCAACAGTTGTTTATTTTGTTAGTGTAAGTTAAAAAAAGTCTAAAATATTATTAATTATATATTTTTATTAGTTAATTTATTGGGAATTTATTGAGAATTTATTGGGAATTTATAGGGAATTTAGTGGAAATTTATTGGGAATTTAATGGGAATTTAGTGGGAATTTAGTGGGAAATTAATGGGAATTTAATGGGAATTTACTCAAAATTGGAAAAAATTGTCGTTTAAAAATGCAATAAAAAATGTTCACCCCCCCCTATACCCCCCAAGCTTTTTCGAAAATTTTGCCATTTTACCTCCCCCTATACCCCCCCCCCTGAAATCGAAAACCTTTAGCAACCCTGATATATATATATTATATTAATTGTATTAACTGTAGACATCCTCGACATTGAATATACTGTATCGTACAGTTGACTATTGTTTAAATCAGTCATAACTATATATATGATAATAATTATTATTGTTTAATGATATATAATTTATTATAAATATTTTTTAAAAAATAATATTAATTAGTTTTTTACAGTTTTATTTTTCATACAATAGTTTTGTACAGTAAAATAACTAAATAATTAATTAGTAATTATCATTGTCTCCATAATAATTTACAAATAGTTTACAAAAAATTTTTAATTGTTTTGTTTTTGTTTTAATTGTTGCAAATAAAATATATAGAATTTTTTTACTGTATATTAATTAATTGAATATATAATTTCCAGGGTTTTAAGGAAATAAATGCCTGCCCTATCAATGCCCAGTTAAATGCAAGCAACAACAACAACAACAACAACAACAACAATAATAATAATAATAATAATAATAATAATAATAATAATAATAATAATAATATAATAATATATAATAATAATATAATAATAAGATCTATTCTAATATACATGATTTTATAATGTTATTTTTCTAGGAATAGGTATTTAATAGATTTAATTAACATTATTATTAATAATAATAAAATAATAGTTTTTTATTTTGTAATTTTATTAAAATATTAACTGTTTAAACAATTTTTATTCAAAAGATATTTATTAAAATTTAATGATTTATATTAATATAATTAAAAGTACAGCTAATTTACATTATTGTTGATTATAACCAAATTGATAGAAATAAGATCTAATTGGTTTCCAAACGTTGCGTTTAATTAAAACTTGTTTGGCCTTATAGGACACATATATTCTATATACAGGTGCCGGCATACCATTGAAGCCAATGTTATCAAAGTTAGTACTATAAGCGCCCATATTTGCAAACATAAGCCATTCGCCGATAAACATCTCAACCAGAGGACAGTTATCTTGAATACAGTCTTGACTACAACATGTCGGTCCCCATAGTATACTATTATAGGGCTGTCTTTTTGCTATGATATCCGATGATAACAGTGGTATCGGTTCATAAACTTTACGTATATATATTGAATCTTTGAACGATCCGTAGGCGCCGTCATTCAATGTATACATAATATGTGGCCAATTATTTTGGTCATCACTAACCTCGCGTCGGGACAACACACGGGTCAGTACAGTAAAAGCAGTTTCACAAAAATATGTGCCCGGTTCAGCCATAACAGTCAGATTGTCATACCAGTGCCCATTATCATCTATAGTAGCAAAATGTTTATCAATAGCTGTATTGACAACCTTAGCCATCTGTTCAAATGTTATCTCATTGTTGTCCAAACTATGACTCCATAGACCAGGAAATCCACCGCCAATGTCCAGTACTGACATCTTATAGCCCAGAGCTTCGGCCATATCAAACACTTGCCGGGCTCTGGCAATTGCCAGGTCATAGGCGTCAGCACTTTGTGCACCACTACCCACATGAAAGGCCACACCGATAACAAACAAACCCATTTGTTTTGCAGCCGACAACAGATTAAGCGCATCAGTCATAGAGCAACCAAACTTACGATTTAGTCGGACCTTTGAGTCGGTGTCATCCACTTTGATGCGCACAAGTAGTCTGGCTTCCGGGTGTCTGATCTGTATTTTCTTAAGCTCTTCCAGACAGTCAAATGTCATGAGATCAATGTCTTCATCGCGTGAATAGACAAGCGATGCATTAGTTTTGCAAGTGTTTGCAAATATGATTGACTCGGGTTTGGCACCCAATTCAAGTACTGTTTCAATTTCGTGCTATTAATTTTAGTAATATACATATATATACAGTTAAATTGACTTATGTTTTAAAAGTAAATATAATAATTAAACATTTTAAGTAAAAATTCAATAATATTAAGTTTGTATTATTATTGGTAGTATTAAAATAATGATCTATACCTGACTGGCACAATCAAACCCGACTCCCAGTTTATTGAGCACTTTGAGTAACGGTAGACTAGGGTTAGCTTTGACCGCATAATATGGTCTAATTCTGGGCATTAGTCGACACCATTGACTATATTTTTCGATGACATCCTCGACATTGAATATACTGTACGGCAGTTCACTATTGTTTAAATCGATATTATTTCTATTAAACTCAATGATATCATTCATAACTATATATGATAATAGTTATTGTTGTTTATATACTTTATTATAAATATTTTTTTAATCTATTTTAATATATTTCAAAGTTGACTTATAAGATTTTTTTAAAACTATAATATTAGTTAAAACTTTATAACAAGGCATTTATATATTATGTTTATACAATATATTTGAATAGCGTCATAATATTAGTACACACATGCATTTTTATCCTATAAAATGTAAAATATTTTATCATAGATTAAAATTTCATTATCTACATCATCATCATCAATTAATTATTAATTTTTATTACGTTGTTATTACGTGGATAGGGGTAAGGGTAGGGGCTAGAAAAAAAAGCTATTTTACTAAACTTAAAAAATACCAAAATACTATCTATAAGATTTAACTCTCATAATTTTTTTTTCATTAATAAAAATAATATTTAAAATAAAGTGGTCTAAATTTTATTTTTAAAAATTAAATAAATATACTGCTTAATTTGAATATATTTGTTAAAATATTTAATAATAATTAATTAGTTAGAAAATGACAATGTTTTTTGTTTTTTGTTTTTTGATTTATTTATCTTAAATTTTTTTAAATAATATTAATTTGGTTTTTTACACTTTTTCACATTTTTTTCATACAATAGTTAGTTTCAGTAAAATAACTAGATAATTTATTTAGTAATTATCATTGTCTCCGTAATAATTTACAAATAGTATTAACAAAAATTTTAATTGTTTTGTTTTTGTTAAATTTTTGCAATTAAATATGTAGATTTTTTTACTGTATATTAATTAATTGCATATATAATTTCCAGGGTTTTTTTTATAAAATAAATGCCTGCCCTAACGATGCCATTTTGGGCATCTATTTTTATTTCCCTGTCATTTAAATTGCTATAAAAAAGCAACTGTATTTAAAAAAAATAATTTAATTTATTGATTTTAGCATGTTAATTATTATTTACAATTAATATACTTATTTCAATTTATATTATTATTACCTTTTAATAAAAAGGTATAGAAAACTAAAATACAAACAAATATATTATAAAATAATTTTTTTTAATAAATAAATTAATAATATAAAATTAAAATAATTAGGGGTCACCTCCTGAAAATAGATGCCCAGTCACTTTGTACAAATTTTTAAACTTTTTTTATTATTATTTTTAATAATAAATAAATAGTAATTATGATTAATAGTTAATTGATTAATAGATTTACATTATAAAAATATTAAAATTAGTAGATTATAGTTAATAATAATAATTATTATTATAATAATCAATATATTGTTATTTTTATTCAATCAATTGTATATATAAATGCTATATTTATTTTTATGAATAAAAACCAATAAAGTTTAAAAATATTATGTATATTAAAAAAAGTATTATTATTTAGATATTTTTTTAATGATTATATTGTATTTACTTTAACAATAGTATATGTTATTATTATTTTAAATATTATGCAAAAAATATGTAAAAATTTTGTTTGTTATTTGAATTACTAATTTAATTATTATAAAATATATTAGTTTTTAAAAAATACTAATTTTTATTTAAAACAGCAATAATAATAATAATAATAAATTTAAGTAAAATTACGTATGAAATTATGTAAACATTTATCTTTGTTGTTGAAATATTTTCCATATATTTTGTATAATCATTGCAATTAAAATATAATATACTGATGTGTAAATTATTAATTTTTATCGCTTGAAAATATCATAATTATTTAGAATTATTTTTTTTAAATTCTTCAATTAATAATTATAATAATCAAATGTTAGTATCCAATATTTTACGCTTTTTTATAGTTTTTATAATTTATTTAAATTAATTTATTAATATATTATACATATAATAAAAAACAAATAAATTTTTATTAAAAAAGACTTGATATACAATGTATATTATACATGTATTTGTATGTGTGTGTATGTTTGTGTATGTATGTGTATGTAAGTATGTGTATGTAGGTGTGTGTATGTGGGTGTATGTGTGTATATGTGATTGTATGTATGTGTATGTATGTGTATGTATGTGTGTGTATGTGTCTGTATGTGTGTGTATATGTGTGTATGTGTGTGTATGTATGTGTATATATGTATGTATGTCTAATAGACTCTGTCTATTAAATGAATTAATGTTTTATTTTTGAATATTAATTAGAAAAATTGTTTTTAAAAAATAGCAATGACTAGCAAATTATTAATTATTTAAAGAAAAAATCTTTAAAAAAGACTTTAATAGTATAATAGTATAATATTTAATATATATATATATTCTTTATATATTAAATAAAATAACTAACAAAAATAAAATGGAAATAACAGATATTTATGATAATATATTTAAAAAAGATGTTTCCAGAATATTTCCGGCCAACTATCTGAGTCTGGCCAACAAACTAGAGCACCGGCCTAACCATCGGTTTCTCATATCGTATAACAGATGCGGTAGCAATTGGTTCATATATATTGTCCAATTGATACTGTCTTCAGCTGAAAATACCGATCCCGTTGACGATGAAAACTATATTATCGAAAGTGTTGGCTTACGGGCACTGGATATGACCAGAAAAATGATGTCAAAAACAACAAGCAATAGTAGTAGTAATGTCAATACTAACGGTGCTACAGTCAACGATACCATGACTGCCGATAATGATGATGAGGAGGACATTGTTTTCTTGAAAACCGACTACACTAGCGATAACTTTCCGCTGAACTCAATGGCCAGATATATGCTATTAATGCGTAATCCGAAAGATGTTTATCATGCCTTCTATCAGGCAATCGATAATCTGATCCGATCGGAGCACATGGATGTTAAAATTGGTGAAATCAAACACTATGACAAACTATTAGACTATTGGCTATCAGATAGTATACCCGATTGTTATAACTATTTTACGTATGTTAAACAATATTGGCTCCGGTTTAGACGGGAACCTAACTTTCATTTCATGCTTTACGAGGATATGAAACATGAACCGCGAAAAGCTATCGAAACTATAGCCAAGTTTTTAGGCGATAACTATGTTAGACGGCTGTCCCGTGTGATGGACTCCGGTACTGGCGAAACACTGCTCGACCGTATTGAACGACTGTCTACTATGGATACAATGAAACCAATGTTTGACAAACAGGACAGTTGGCGATTGAGAAAGGGTGTGATCGGCAACTGGAGGTCGCACTTGACTAGAGAGCAAAGCGATGCTATCGATCGGAAAGTTGCTGACGAATGGACGGGAACGGGACTCGAGTTGCTGTGGGAACGGGAATTAAAATGGGAATAATATTCAATAATAATAATAATTTTAAATCTAGTTTTCTCTAATTAGTATTAGTGTGTGTTTAATACAAAAAAATACAATAGACTAGTAATAAAATTATTTTTTAAAAATAATCAATATAAAGTAATTTTTATTATATTGATTTAAGTAATGCAAGTTAATTTCTAGTAATTATTTTATTGTATTATGATTTTATACAAATATAATAACTCTAAATAATAAATTTTTAGTTTTTTTAAAATTGTTACTAATTTTATATTTAACTTATATATCAAAATATTTATTTCTCATTTACTGTATATGCATTATTTGTTTATCATGTGTTAATTATTTTAAAGTAAAATTATTGTACAAAATGAGATTGAATGTAAAATCTTAATTATTTTTAATTTACACGAATTCCTGAAAGGAATCCGTATATGCATTCTATAAGTCGGTCTGTCTGTCCCACGAGGACATAGGTTCGAATCCAGGCTCAGCTACGATTTTTTTTGAATTTTTTTTATTTTTTAAGTTTATTTTTAAGAAAATAAAAACAAAATGGTGTCCAATAATTAATAAAAAAAAATTTTGAATTTTTTTTATTTAAAAAATTTTTTTTAAAGTTTATTTTATCAGGAACATAGAGAAAATAGTGTCAAAACTTTTTTTTTTTGTTAAATTTTTATCTTTTTTAAGTTAAGGAATTCGTATGGAAATGCTTTTGAAGCATTCTCAACTGGTTTAAATTAATATTTAAATTTCATTTTTTTAATGCATCTTATTTTGTTTGAAACTTTTATTTATTTTGAAATATTTTTTTCCATTAAACCAACACCAACTTAAAAACTTGTTTAAATAAATAATTAATTAAATAATTCAAACAATGCCCGCATTTTTTGCCAATAAATAAAATTGTGATGAAATGTTTGAGAGTAGAACTGTTAGCGAATCAAATACAACTACCCGTCCATCGGATAGGACTAACACACGATCGGAATCAAGTATAGTGTTTAGTCTGTGAGCAATGGTTAGTACAGTACAGTTGGCAAACTCTGACCTAATAGTTGTCTGTATGAGTGTATCGGTCTCAACATCGACTGCAGCCGTTGCCTCATCGAGTATGAGGACAGTTGTGTTTCTGAGCAAAGCTCGGGCCAAACAAATGAGTTGTCTCTGACCTACACTGAGGTTATCTCCGCCTTCAATGACTGGAAAGTCGAGTCCCGATTTGTCGGACAAAACATAATGTTTGAGATGTGATCGCTCTAAGGCTGTCCACAAATCGGAGTCCGAGTCTCTGTTATTATAATGTTTTTTTTTAAATTTATATATTATTATTATTTATTTAATTTTGATTGTATTGATAAATATTATCATTAAATTTATTGAATTAAAATTTATATATACAATATATATATAGTAAATTACATGCAATGCTAAACCACTAAACTACTGGACCACTAAAATAAATTTTCTAATATAAATATATATAGAAATTTATTAATCACTAAATGTATAATAATATAATATACTATATAAATAATATTATATATATATATATAGGTCGTGGCCGGTTGGAAATGTGTCGCCAGTGGACACCCTATTTAGAGCTCAGGGAGCCTACCCGTTGCCTGTTGTCCGGTACCGGTAGTCGTTTTGGTTAAACACTAGACGTTGAATATGAATCAGTAGTTTTCTGTCTTGAAATTAAAAAAAATAATAAAACGTTTAGTTTATAAAAACACTTGTTTTTATGTTATTTACTTTACCGCCGATAGTAAGTTGACCACCACTGGCCATACAATAGACGACTCAATATATATATATATATATATATATATATATATATTGAGTCGTCTATTGTATGGCCAGTGGTGGTCAACTTATTATCGGCGGTATATATATATATATACCGTATATATTGATAATAGAGGTCGCAATAAATGTTATTTATCTGAATAAATATATTTTTACTGAATTATTTGATTTGAAAAAATAAAATAAAATAAAAGTTTACTAATTACTATCATTTATTAACTGTAAAATATATAATACTCTATTGAAATAAACAAACAAAAAATATTGATATAAAATTTAAAATATTTGCAAAATCATTGAAAATACTTAATACATTGCATTAAATATTCATTAGTAATAAACAATTTTTTTTTTATTTAACATTATATTAAATTTCTTTTTAAAAACAATATTTATATATATATATTATAACTATTTTATTTTATAATACATAGCAATAATAATAATAATAATAATAACTTAAATTTTAAACAAACAAAAATGTCGTACTTAACTATTGAAAATTTTAACAAAATTACAAAAAAATTTTGTGGGTAAGTAAAACACACACACATATATAATAACTAAAAATAAATATAAAAATAAAATAAAAATTAATAATTTAAATTGTTATTTAACTTAAGTATATTTTTATTGATTTACTTATAGTATTTATTTAATATTAAAAACTACTATTACTACTAAAAACTATGTATTTTTTATTGTTTTATATCTATTTCTATTAGCTATAAACCAGATATATTGCAATCAGTATTACTTAAAGATATGCCTAAATTTGAGGCCATGTTTGACACTATTGTCAAACAAGTGTTAGACAATTCACTAAACGATGATATCAGAGATCAATTGAAACCATTAATTAGGAAAATATTTGAACATTTGAACAATAAATCTGATGCCTATATATTCTCGATAATTACTATATTAAACTATTGTTTAATCAATAATGTCTATAAAACAAACAATGATATTAATAATGATGATGAGGAGGAGGACAGTGATACCAGAATCTATGCACTTGGATGGGCACATGTATTCATGGCCTACTATATTGTACTACTCGATGATATTATGGATGACAATCAATTGGCTGGTGATAAACAATGTTGGCATACATTGGTATAACATTTTTTTTATCAATAGCTACTTTATATAATTTTATTATAGTTTATACTTATTTTTATTATTATTATTATTAGCCCGGTGTTGGTATGACTGCCCTAAACGATAGTACAATATTGATGACTGCTATCAATACTATAATTAAACTGTATTTCCGTAATCAACCCAATTATGTTGATATTATTGAATACATTCAAAAGGTTTTTAATGATGAATATATTTATTTATTATTGACTATGTTTTTTAAAAAAATATAATAATAATAAATTAATTAAAAATTTATATATTTAATAATGAAAATTTATTTATTTATAATATATTTACCTAGATTATAGAAAATGTTGCCTATGGACAATTACTAGATTTACAGTTTACTAAATCATATAAACCAGATATAGATTTAAATAGTTATACTATTGAACAGTTAACTATTAATACAAAATACAAGCATGCTTATTTTGTTGTATTAGGACAGTTTCAGCTTGGTAAGTTTGTTTGTGTGTGTGTATTTATTAGTATTCATTATATATTTTGTCGGCCAGTTAGCCGTCGATTGAGGGGAAAATAAAATGCAAAACAATTTATATTTTTAGCTTTTATTTAATTATATCAACAAAAATAATATGAAAAAATAAAATATTTTTTTATCAAAATGCTTTCAATGATTTATAGTTATTATATTATATAATTACTAATAAAAAATATTTTAAATAAAAAAACTAATATATTTTACGGTCTATAAATTGCATTAACAAATTGTGAGGAAAAAATATATATAATTTTAACAAAATAATTAAATATTTGATTCATTATAAACTACCAGATATTTAAATGACTGTTTTAAAAACACTTTATAAAAAATATACAAATTTTTGTGCACATTAGTTATTTATTTAGTGAAATTTTTTTTTTTAATTATAACTTTATAAAATAAGCTAAAAAAAGTCAAACAAGTAATAGTAGTAATTGTAAAATTTTCTAAAATTATCAAATAATAATAATATGAAAAATTATAGTTTAGTTTAAATTAAATTCATTGTATTTTTTTTATTAAATTGTAAAATGATCTAAAACTTTCTATATTTTAACACTTATTATATCATTTTAAATACTAACAAATATATACTAATTATATAATTAATATATAATATATAATATAATAATTATATAATTATATAAGTTTACTAATTGGAAAAAATTTATTATTAATTTTTTCTAAATTATTTGTTTCATAAAATATTATTTGTATTTAAACTGATTATTGTTGCTGTTTATTATTAATGATATATAAAATTAATTACTATAATGATAATTTTTTTATATATATTTTATTACAACAATAAAACAAAAACAAAATACTTATTTTTTCTTCATTTCGTAATAAAATATTTGCATAAAAAAATAGTTTGAATAATATTAATTAATTTTTGTAAATTATTATGGAGACAATGATAATTACTAATTAATTAATTAGTTATTTTACTGTACAAAACTATTGTACAGTATGTACCTAAACTGTAAAACTAATTAATATTATTTAAAAAATTTAATAGAAGGGGAAAAAACAAAAAACAAAATAAACAATGTCATTTTCTAACTAATTAATTATTATTAAATATTTTAACTGATATATTCATATTAAAGCATTAAAATTTATTTAATTTTTAAAAATGGGTGACATTTTTATTTTAAAAAAAAACTTTTAGACCACTTTATTTCAGTTTAATTATTTTTATTTAAAATAAATTATGAAAGTAAAATTTAAATATTATCTTGGTTTTTTATAAAATTCAGTAAGATAGCTTTATCTATGCCCTCCCTCCCTCCCTCCCCACCCTCTCCCTACCCACACAACTATCTTAACAATAGATTTTAACAACATCTATAAAAAAAAATTTAAAAAAAATTTGCAATAAAATTAATGATTAATTAGTAATTGATGATGATGTAGATTATGAAATTTTAATCTACGATAAAATATTTTATATAAAAAAAATATTTTATGAAATAAAAAAAATGCATACTGTACCTTTTTTATGATGCTACTACAATATATAGTGATTAGCATAATATTTATGTAATATATTTATATAAATACCTGTATAAAGTTTTTTGAGTAGGATTATAAATTTTTTTTTAAAAAAAAAAGTTTATAAGTCAACTTTATAATAATATAGATAAAAAAAATTAAATTTAATAAAATTATTTAATAATTATTATTATATAATTATGAATGAGATTGAGTTTATTAGAAATAATATCGATTTAAACAATAGTGAACTGCCGTACAGTATATTCAATGTCGAGGATGTCATCGAAAAGTATAGTCAATGGTGTCGACTAATGCCCAGAATTAGTCCCTATTATGCCGTCAAAGCTAACCCTAGTCTACCGTTACTCAAAGTGCTCAATAAACTGGGAGTCGGGTTTGATTGTGCCAGTCAGGTATAGATCATTATTTTAATACTACCAATAATAATACAAACTTAATATTATTGAATTTTTACTTAAAATGTTTAATTATTATATTTACTTTTAAAACATAAGTCAATTTAACTGTATATATATGTATATTACTAAAATTAATAGCACGAAATTGAAACAGTACTTGAATTGGGTGCCAAACCCGAGTCAATCATATTTGCAAACACTTGCAAAACTAATGCATCGCTTGTCTATTCACGCGATGAAGACATTGATCTCATGACATTTGACTGTCTGGAAGAGCTTAAGAAAATACAGATCAGACACCCGGAAGCCAGACTACTTGTGCGCATCAAAGTGGATGACACCGACTCAAAGGTCCGACTAAATCGTAAGTTTGGTTGCTCTATGACTGATGCGCTTAATCTGTTGTCGGCTGCAAAACAAATGGGTTTGTTTGTTATCGGTGTGGCCTTTCATGTGGGTAGTGGTGCACAAAGTGCTGACGCCTATGACCTGGCAATTGCCAGAGCCCGGCAAGTGTTTGATATGGCCGAAGCTCTGGGCTATAAGATGTCAGTACTGGACATTGGCGGTGGATTTCCTGGTCTATGGAGTCATAGTTTGGACAACAATGAGATAACATTTGAACAGATGGCTAAGGTTGTCAATACAGCTATTGATAAACATTTTGCTACTATAGATGATAATGGGCACTGGTATGACAATCTGACTGTTATGGCTGAACCGGGCACATATTTTTGTGAAACTGCTTTTACTGTACTGACCCGTGTGTTGTCCCGACGCGAGGTTAGTGATGACCAAAATAATTGGCCACATATTATGTATACATTGAATGACGGCGCCTACGGATCGTTCAAAGATTCAATATATATACGTAAAGTTTATGAACCGATACCACTGTTATCATCGGATATCATAGCAAAAAGACAGCCCTATAATAGTATACTATGGGGACCGACATGTTGTAGTCAAGACTGTATTCAAGATAACTGTCCTCTGGTTGAGATGTTTATCGGCGAATGGCTTATGTTTGCAAATATGGGCGCTTATAGTACTAACTTTGATAACATTGGCTTCAATGGTATGCCGGCACCTGTATATAGAATATATGTGTCCTATAAGGCCAAACAAGTTTTAATTAAACGCAACGTTTGGAAACCAATTAGATCTTATTTCTATCAATTTGGTTATAATCAACAATAATGTAAATTAGCTGTACTTTTAATTATATTAATATAAATCATTAAATTTTAATAAATATCTTTTGAATAAAAATTGTTTAAACAGTTAATATTTTAATAAAATTACAAAATAAAAAAACCAATTTATTATTATTAATAATAATGCTAATTAAATCTATTAAATACTTTGTTTTATTTGAAAAAAAAAATTTGTTTAATTTATTAATAATAATATATATATCAGAGTTAAGCAAGGTTTTGGATTTTAGGGGGGGGGTAGACCGGGGTAAAATTTACAAAATTCTCGAAAAATCTTGGGGGTGTATTGGGTGGGGTAAGATTTTTATTGCATTTTTAAACGGCAATTTTTTCAAAAATCCAAAATCAAGGGGGGTCAAGACAAAATTCCCGAATATTCCCATGTAAATTAGATAAAGTTCCCATAAGTTCCCGTATAAATTCCCAGGAAAATAGGTAAAATTTCCTAAAATTTCCAAAAATACAAAAAAAACTTAAAAATTAACAAAAACTTAAATTTTAACAAAAAATAAATATTTAAAAAAATTTTTTTTAAAATTAATAAAAACAAATTTTAACAAAAAATTAAATAATAATGTATTTAATACTTAAAAATAGTTGATAAAAGCATTAATGATACACTATGAGTTTATTATTATTATTTTAGTAATTTTTAATTTTTAAAATAATTAATTTTTTAAATAATACTTAATGTTTAAATTTTATAGATTTATATTTTTATTTTTATTTTTTATTGTTTTTTATATAAATACTGACTGAATACTAATTATAAAATTTAAAATATTTTTAATTTTTTAGTTAAAATTTAAAAAAATTTTAATAAAAACCTTGTAATTTAAGTATTTATTGTTTTATTAACTTCTTAAACTATCTTAAACTTATATTTAAATTGTAATATGATCACTCTTTTCAACAAATAAGTAATTTTTAATTTTTTAGTTTAATATTTTAATTAAAATTATGTTATTTTTAGATGAGTTTTAACGTTATTTTAACTATTTTTAATCAATAATTAGATTATTATAAATATTAAAAACATAAAAACACACTAAAATAGCATCAACTAAAATTAAAAATTTTTTAAACTTGAAAAAAATTTTCGGCGCCTTTGGCGCCGAAATTATAGGGGGGGGGTCATTTCTCCTCGTTTTTAAGCGACAATTTTTCCCATTTGGTCAAAAAGTCAAAATTATTATTATTATTATTATTATTATTATTATTATTATTATTATTATTATTATTATTATTATTATTATTATTATTATTATTATTATTATTATTATTATTATTATTATTATTATTATTATTATTATTATTATTATTATTATTATTATTATTATTATTATTATTATTATTATTATTATTATTACTACTACTACTACTACTACTACTACTACTACTACTACTACTACTACTACTACTACCTACTACTGTCATCACCCGATTGGTATCCATCATAGACAGGGATCAATACAACGCTGATTACTACCGTCTCTATCGGCCATACAATAGTATTTTTGACCGCAACAAATGTGTCCGCATTGATACCATTTATCGCAATCTAGCATGCTCAATTTTGTTTCTATAGTATATAATATATATATATAATATAAATTTTAAAAAATAATAATAATTATTATTATTATAGTTTACCTTGATTGTAAATGTGTAGATTATGTTGAATGTTAAAAATTTGATGAGACAGTCCAATTGCATCGGGATAGTCTATATCGGAGGAAAAAATTATTATTTATTTAAAAATTATATTTTTATTAATTAAAAATAAATAAAATATTCAAAATTAGATAATATAAATTACATGATGATGAATATGATGATGATAATAATAATAATATATTAAAAAGTAAAGCTTTGATAAAAAATATTTTCATTTTAGTTTTTAACTTTTTAAAAAAAAACAATTAAAGTAATAACTTATTAACAACTATATTATAAACTGTATTTTTGCGTTTATTATTATAAAGTGTAATATAATAATATATTTTCTAAAAAAACTAAATTTTTATAATTAGCTATAATTAAAAAAAATTCAAACAAGCGTTGTGCAGTAATAATGTTAATAAAATTTTTAATTTTTTTTTATAAAACATAGAAGTATTACTTATAAAAAAATATGAGTGAATGAGATTTTATTAATTAATTTTAATGTAAAATAAATATATGTCTATATAATTGCAAATTCATTGCAAACTACTTAAATGATAAAATAATTAAAAAAAATTTTTTTTTGCATTTTAACATAAATTATATGATATTGTGAAACACAAATATCTTAATGATTTTATAATAAATTATTTAAATGAAAAAAAAAACATTTTTTTTTATAATGAATAAATAAAATATTTTATATATTTTTATTATTTTTTAATAGTAAAAAATTTTATGTAAAAATATTTATTTATTAATTATTTCAAAAAAATAATAAATTTATTATTTTTTTCAAAATATAAATCATTTAGAAATATGTCTGTTTATTATTATTATTATTATTATTATTATTATTATTATTATTATTATTATTATTATTATTATTATTATTATTATTATTATTATTATTATTATTATTATTATTATTATTATTATTATTATTATTATTATTATTATTATTATTATTATTATTATTATTATTATTATTATTATTATTATTATTATTATTATTATTATTATTATTATTATTATTATTATTATTATTATTATTATTATTATTATTATTATTATTATTATTATTATTATTATTATTATTATTATTATTATTATTATTATTATTATTATTATTATTATTATTATTATTATTATTATTATTATTATTATTATTATTATTATTATTATTATTATTATTATTATTATTATTATTATTATTATTATTATTATTATTATTATTATTATTATTATTATTATTATTATTATTATTATTATTATTATTATTATTATTATTATTATTATTATTATTATTATTATTATTATTATTATTATTATTATTATTATTAATAATATAGATTTTACCCCAAAAAATATAGTTTTGATAACCGGTTCGAGTGCTGGTTTTTTCGAGGGCTGGAAAATTTATTTTATTTTTGTTGTTGTAAAATTATTAACAATAATTTTTTTCAAAAAAAACATATATAAACAATAGTATAGTTAACAACTACTTATACAATCAAATTGGCTGCCATTGAGATCGCTTTGACAATAATAGCCCGGTTGGCAACATAGTTGTCCACATTTATACCAATTATTGCACGGTTGGCTCTGATGATAGGTATCTATCAAAAACAACAACAACAAAAACAATAAAATAATAATAATAATAATTAATTTTATTTAGTATTTACAATGTTTTTCCAAAAGCATTGAATTGCTATCAACAAAATTTTTGCATCCATAAGCATCGGATCTATAGACAGTACGTCCATTGATTGGTTGCAATGGACGCCGATTATCCACTATACGGGTGCTCTGTTGGTCGCCAATTGGTTCCCATTTTAATTGACGAAATTTGCTTAACTATCCATATATATAAACAGTATATATATATATTTATATATATATTATACAGTATCAAAAAAAAAATCAGATAAACTACTACTATAATATTTGTTATGTTATTATAACATCATGCTATAATAATAGTATATAGATTCTATATATATATTATAAAACATGTTTATTTTTTATATATGTAAGATATACAGTTACAAAAATTACAAATTTACAAAAATTAAAAGTTGCATAACTGCCCTTAGCCGCTGGCCGATTGAAATTATTTTTTATATTTAAGTAGTTTAATATCTATAGTTTTAAATAGTATCAGTTATTTTTATGGATGAATCAGTTAAGGTGATAAAATTGGACATCAATGGTCACCCGTATTACTCACACGCATACCAATGCTTTTAACACTATAACACTATAAATACATAGCAATGCTTTTAACACTAATACTACATATACATACCAATGCATTTAACACTATATACACATATAAGATATTTTATTGTTTTATTATATTATACATATACTGTATACAAACATAGATACATACAATTACAATTACAAAATCAATTAACAATTATATTCAAAAATATTGTTATAAAAATATCCTAATGTATTACTATTTATATTATTTTATTATATTAACGCATATGTTTCTAATTTTACTTTTATCGGCTTATATTGCCATATATTGTATTGCATTTAAGATATGCAAACTTATATTAATTAAACATAGTGTCCACTAATATAGGTCACTGT